TGGGTGGGTGTAGTTAAGAACATAAAAAAGTTATATAAACTCAGGTGTGAGACACCTATTTTAGTTTATCAATTTTCAATCGCAGTTACAGTTTATAGGAATTGAGCACGTCACCTGACTAGTACTGAACAAAAACGAACAGCCAAAAGTTCAAGCACTGTATGGTCATGTGATCATGTTATACTCAAGGGCGGATCCAGCCAACATTTTAGGGGGGGGGGGGGGGCGGGAGTAATTGAGTTTCTTCGGTCAACACAATGGAAAACAATATAAAAAAACATCGTTTTTTTTTGCTGAAGGGGGGAACTTCAGCCCCCCCCCCCCCCCCCTGGATCCGCCCTTCATACTTTAAGACTAATGATACAAGCTTCACATGTGCTATTGTACTGCTGGTATGATGCATGTATGGATGGTAAGCAGTTGCTTAAGAATAACAATAATTTACAACGACCAATTTACCTCTTTGGTCTAAGATTGTGCTTCTTCTTTCCTCTCCTATCCCATCCATCTATCTCATAGTTACAAATTGATTTAACATGATGTTAGAAGGTTGATGAAATGATTGATTGATCCATATGATTCATTTATTAATTCCTTCACCAATCCATCTATCTTTCCTTCTATTCTGCCCATCTCATAATTTATCATTGAAATTCAATTAGTCTCTTATTATTCTTTTTTTTTTTTTTTTCAAAGCAAAAAATAAAAACTTCGCAAACCTCCTCCCAACTCCCCCCTCTTTCAACAAAAAATTCAATTGGGATTCCTGTGTGCTTTTTTACGCAACCTCCTGACCCCCCTCCTCCAGGGGGTCTATTTACCTTAGTTTCACAGGACGCCAGTTGAACTTTGTAATGCAGAACGAAGTTTAGTCTGAACTTAGCCAAAATTYCCTTCCTTTCCCCTCGAAATACCCACATTTAAAGATACCTGCGTATTATAGGACAATTAATATTTAGTTCTAGTCATGTAAACTTGCTTTAAAGATGATTTAAGGGGATGTTTTAAGACACGAAAGACGAATCGTTTTCGAAGAGAAGACAAGATGGCGACGAGAACGGGTGATGCTTCGAAAGGTATTCTAAACCAAGGCTTTTCTGCTGGTTCTAATGGAAAATCAGTGTTAAAAGAAGCTGTAGATGCTGTATTAACGTCCTTTGCAAAGCATACACAAGGCCATGGTGGAGGTAAGAGGCATTTTTGCATCTTATTTTATCATTTTCGAGTCATTCTGTTTATGAAAACAATTTTAAAAACAGCAACTCTTTTCTATTGAAACTCTTCAAAACAAACAAAACAAAACAAAAAACGTATAATGTTACTTTATTATTCAGTTGTTAGAAAAAATATTACCAATTTCTCTTATTAACTAAGTTCTATTGACGTTTTTTTGTAATAATTTTGGAAAAACTTTTGCATAAGTTTTGATTCTTCGTTAACAAAAATTGTTTATTCCAAACAAACTTTAAAACCAAAACCTTATATAATCCTATTTTTCATAAGTATTCTAGTATTAATAATATATAATATTCATAATTTTGCATAAACATTGCAAGTTTTTATTCAGTTAATTCAGCTATTCAAAATAAATACTTAAGCAGAAATCAAGTCTAAAATATAATCTTTTCAATCCTCTGTAAATCCAAAGATATCTTTGACGATTTATCTAAGTCGGTGGGATTCGTATTCAAGTTTTATTTAAGTTACCACAAAAATTGCGGTAACGCCAAAGCTGCATATCGAATAATAATCAATTCGGGATCTTTGTTGATCTTTGTTTAAGTGCTACTCTGACGAAAATCGCTCAAACTTGGATTCAGCTGAAACTTCCTAAGAATACTCTTTAAAGGTCCAATAATCACTGTATGAAGTGTTTTCTCGATATTCAGGACAAAAGTATGATATTTTTACGATTATTTTTTGAAGTCTGTGACGTCATAGACTCAACATCGAACATCGCTCCATACATTTCTTTGTAGTTTATGATCAAAATATCAGTAGTAAAAGGAGAAAGAAATACCCAAACACCCCAAAATATAAATTATAGTCACAAGTAATGTGAAATAAGCACATTAGCCACCCTTTGGGCTTCATAGGAATAAAATAAATTAAGGATTTATATACAAAGAAATGAATGGAGCGATGTTGGATGTTGAGTCTATGATGTCACAGACTCCAAAAAAATAATCGTAAAAATATCATACTTTCGTCCTGAATATCGAGAAAACACTTCATACAGTGATTATTGGACCTTTAAAGAATATTCTTAGGAAGTTTCAGCTGAATCCAAGTTTGATTAAAATTTTTGTAAAAAATATTGTATATTGTATTGAAGATTTTAGGATTTGAATTACAAATCACTCATGCAGGTTTGATTCCTGTACTTCATATCACATGTAAGCAGAGTTTGTTACAGTAGGTTTTTCCCTATATTCATGGGTTTTATTCCAGCTTTTCTGGTTTTCCTCCCTTCGCAATACTAACTAGTTAGCTAAATTCCAATTCAATCTGTTAGTTACCCCGGCTTTGATCAGCCCAGAGATTGTTCAGGGTATCGATTAAACTTCCGATCAAGGTTTAATTCATATTGATAGTCTTAGTAGATGCTTGAGGGGACTGATAACCTGTACCGAAATGTTCCTGAAGGCATATTAGACATGTCATGGGCTCAACTTACAGTGAGGGTCCAGAAGAGGAGGATCCTATAACCATTTCCCAGCCCCCATTTTCACCAAATCCCATAGTCTCAGCTTATTTTTTGTTCAAATCTCAATCCCATTCCCATTTTTTGATTGTTGTTTTTTTTTTCAATTCCCAGTGCATAAAATCCTATTTTCCCAGTCCTAAAAAGGCAAATCCCAGCTCCCATTTTACCACTTCAGGACCTTCTACTGTTACCTTAGTGATGATAAATGCAGGATGTCCAGAATGTTCTGGAGTAGGTTGTCAAAAATCTGATGTAGCTGGCTGTGAGAACGATGATACTTTATAAATACAAAAGAAAAAGTAGCCGACAGTTTATTTCAAAGCATCTGCCAGAGCTCCAGCAACCTGCTGCTTATTCTGATAGCCCTATAAAGTTGTCGAAATTTAAGCCACGGGGCTTTAAAATAGCAGGCTTCCTATGGCTAACATGCAGCCGCCAAATGTTACTAATTAATGCAGTACTTAGCAGATGCAGGGATGGTTCCATGGAACCTTCTTTTGCTCAGTAGAACAAAATTTATTGAAATCTTTGTTGTAGCAGAAAATAGCATTTCCGGACTCTCACTTTTTGAAATCCTGAATCTGCCAACAATGTAATGGCAAGGATGATGATAATAATGGCTTTTATTTAAACACGATAATAAATTACAGCGTTGCTAATGTGGTCGTGTCACTACGACTATAGAGAAACACAAAGTGTTTTAAGAATCTCAACTGACAAGGAGGCACCCAGTTGGCTATTTACTTGAAGCATGGTCGAGAAACTGAATTTGAACTAATCAGGAACCAGGACAAATACAGTCTCAGCTAGTGGCCACAGCGGGACTAGAACTCAGCATCACCGGGTTGTGAGACCGACGCTATGACCGCTCAACCATGCTGCCTCCTCTTCCTTCTTTCTAAAATTTGGTAAAATTTTCTATTTTCAGCCATGAAGTCAATGCCTTATTTCCTGAGATTTACCTGGCCATTTTTATTTTAAAGAATGTGTCATTTGGTACAGTCTCCCTGCCATTATACACTATAAACTCTCTCAGTCTTGCATGCAGCAGTAACATTTGAATACAATCTGTTCAAACTTTGCTCTTTTTTTCTCTTTCTTTATCTACTGTACAAGGAGATGGTCCTTGATTGTATCCATATTTATGGATCGGTCTGCTAGCTTCATTATGTTTGACGACCTTAAACAACATGTTATTATAAAGAGTGAGGAGGAGTGAGCCTGTTTGCACTTGACTTGACATGACATATGTATTTTAGATTTATAGGTCCTTATCTTATTAAATAATTCATTAAGTAAAGAAAACTGGCCGTTTGTTTGGATAACCTTGACCATATACCTTTAAAAGCATCAGTCTCRTATCTCATAATCTTAAATAAGAGATATTTCTCCCAGTATATCATTATTTCGTTATCTTTTTTTTCAATTGTGTTTACTGTGGACTGTTCTCTTTGAACAGCGACCCTCAAAGTTTGGTCTCTTTTTAACCGATTAGCATTTCAATGACGTAAATCAGAGGTCTGCAATAAAAAATCCAACATTTGATGAAGATTTTAGATTGAAATAAAGATTTTAATCATTTACCCTCTATCATACCTACATAATAAATTCCAATAATAATAATAACAATGATAATAATAAWAAAATACATTTATTAATGCGTCACATCGTTCTAGCTTATTACAAAATAAACTAATTGGGGATACGTATCTGAGACCCAGTAAAACCAATAAAAACAATTCCCGTATTCCAAACCCTTAGATTAAAACAACCCCTATATATTTACACTAGTCTACTATACAGTAATATCCCGTCCCTCACAACCAAAATAATGTTCTACAACCTTTCTACAACCTTTACTAGTTATCTAGTATATTGCATTATAATAGGAAAAAATTCACTTCTCAGGTAGTAAAGCTCCTTTCTCGTGGTATACAGTATTTTTCTGTCTGCTATATTATAAAACAGCTTTTGATCTTCTATATCTGGACTGTACCTACAGAACAAAACAGAACAGAACAGAACAGAACAGGAGTTTATTGCTCTTAAATATTAATTGCATTGGTGACAATATAGAAAAATTTAAATATAATATAAATGTATAGTAAATAGATAATATTACATGGGTGCGGAGATACAAAATTTATCTTTGAGCGTTGAAAATATCTCTGAGTGAGTGCAGCAAACAAGTGAGAGATTTTCAACACTTAATAAGCTTTTTATTATTATAAAAAGTTTTTATTTATAAACAAATAGTTTAAACACACATGGTAACGATATTTTCACATGTGAAAATATCAGTTTTTCGAAAAGGAGAAATATAGGTATTATATGGATAATTATATGATGAATATTTGTAATAAAGTGATAAGTAAAATTACACTAATTTCTATTGATATCATTCCTACATTATGATAAAATAATTAATTCTATAACCTTCACTAGTTATCAACTTGAATTATAAGAAAAAAGTCACTCTTCAGGTGGTAAAGCTCGATACCTAATTTCCTGTGGTATACATTTCTGTCTGCTATATTAAAACAGCTGGCAAAATAATCAAATGATTTGGAATGATATGTTGGTTCCTTTGTGATCTGACCTTACATTCCTAACTTTCTTTGAAGTCTAATACCTTTCGTTTTATGTCGTCTTGGGTCAGATAACATGTTGACGTCAAACTTGTGCAGCAGATGCATGTACATATCTTAACATCAGTAAGTTTTTTCATCTTTTCACGGTGTATAATTTACCTTTTCATCATTACTGTGTACATATCTTAGTTAGAAGTCTTGTTGTTCATGAAGTTTGATTAATATATGCAGAATTGTTGCCTCAAAAAAAAATTTTTGAATTTAAAAAAAAGGAAATAAATAAAAACGATGAATAAACAAAGTCATCATCATGTAATGTCCGCCCTAAATTGGAACTCGTCCGGTCAAAGCTTCGCCTTGCTAGTCATTTTGACCAGTAACGTTTGCTAGAAAAGAGGTACATGACAGAGCTACAGTGCATTTTGGCCAGTGACTAATAACACGATACATGCTGTATGATATACCATATGCTCATGAAAAGCTAGCGAAGGCACATTATTTCATAAGACAGCATTCAGTGCAGCAATCAAGTTTTTATTTCACTTATTATAAAGTACGATTTAGATCAGCTGTTAAATTTTGGTTCTACTTTGTGCCCCTACTTCGAAGATAACCAATACTGTTTTCCCCTTTGATTCTAAGGGGTGCACCCCTCCTTAGGTTAACTTTGTGTGCAGCACCCCTCCCTGAACAAAATCCTGGATCCACCACTGTTTCGATATTCTGCAAACTCAGACATTTCAATGGCTTGTTATGAATTTTTTTACTGCCACCAGTCAAGAACATAAAAGGTACCGACTGATTATTTTGGATTGACGGCAGTGAAAAAACAAATTTCAGCATGCAGCTCACAACTACTGAGTTCGCAGGATATAGAAAACTGCAGCAATAATATTTCATCTCATTTTTAGCTGTGAATGTAGAGGAGGCTTTGCAAGAATTCTGGCAAATGAAAGACACAGATACAGGATCCAAAATCCAGCATAGAAAAAGTGTGAAATATGAGCCAGAGATGTCCGACAGACCTCCATATGTCTGCTTCGTAACCTTACCAGAGGGGAGCTGCTTTGGCAGTTTTCAACCTTGTCCAACCAAAGCCGAAGCCAGGCGAAGCGCTGCTAAGATTGCGCTCATGAATTCGGTTTTTAATGAACATCCATCAAGGTAAAATCTCAAACATTTTGTATTTTTTGTCATTTTATATTGGTAGTTTCTTTATTCAAATTCTCACTGAGGTCGGCAGACGACAGTGATGCATTGACTTCCCCCTATTGTTAACCCCCTGTATTCTTGAAATTCTAGATTATATTTCCTCCAGATTTTCTTCCTGTGGGTCATTAGCCTCAAGGCTCTCCTCGTTGGAGTGTGAACATGTGTTAAAGTCTTTAAGCCTGAGGTGTGAATTGAGCCTATGCAGTAACAGTGCATGAAAATTATGACCCATACAAAGGCAGATCCAGGGGGGGGGGGCAAAGGAGGTTGAAGCTTTCCCCCCCCTTTGGCAGAAAAAAAATCAAAACAAAACTGTAGAATTTTTTATTGTGAAGGTTTGCATATATCAAAACGTGTTTGAATAGAAAACCAAAATGAATAATTGTGTTAAAATAAAACATTTTTGCAAAAAGTCAGTCCAGGATTGGACGCCATGTCCCGACTCACCATTTTTTATCATTAGGGATCCCTGTGGGAGCCTGTGGCAGGAAACCTTTGACCCTTAGCCCCCCCCCTAAAATTTTGGCTGAATCCGTCCTTGCCATAAGTAACTACTGTGCAAAGCAGTGAGAGACAGTGCTGTATCAGCTCATGGCACTCATAACCCATAACATTTACATGAATCTATACAATCAATATAATTATATATCATTTTTTGACAGGAGAATAACTGATGATTTTATTGATCTTGCTGTCAAAGAAGCTCAAGAAACAGAAAAACAGATTGCTACGAAGAGAAGAACACTATCCCTCAAGGCCCAAGACCCAGATAATCCCAGTACAGGGGTAGGAGCATTCAGATTCATGCTCAATTCCAACAAAGGCCGCACCATGTTAGAATTCCAGGAACTCATGACCATATTCCAGTTATTGCACTGGAATGGTAGTTTAAAGGCCATGCGTGACCGCGACTGCTCTAGACAAGAGGTGCTGGCACATTATACTGCAAGGGTAATCGATGACGACATGCGCAGCCAAATGGCACTCGATTGGATTTCACGAGAGCAAGAGCAGCCAGGAATTATAAAGAAAGAAACTGAGCGTGCTTTTAAGGAGCTAGAACAATGTAGGTTGGCTGGAAGGGAGTTGAGATTTCCTAAAGAGAAGAGAGACATTTTAAGGATGGCTTATGATCAACTTCGAAATGTCTAAGGTCCAACTCTTTTCAACTTTAATGCCAATATGGTCGCTACCCACCCCTCCCCTGTAGACAAAGACACGTAAATCATGATCTAAAGCTTTGACATGTGGGTGTAATATTTTCCATTTCAGACTATATGTAATTTCCTTGTTATCTTCTCAATCCTTAAGGCCGGTTTTCACTACAATGCAAGCATAAGCACAAACACAAGACTTAGTATAAACAGGCCTTATTTTATTGTGAAAACTTTCTAACGCAATGATAAACACAAGCATAAGGATCAAATTTTTTCCTTTTTGTTGCGCTTGTGCTTAAGCTTATGCTGCGCCAGTGAAAACTAAACACAATACAAGAGCAATGATGGTGAATGATTAATGCATGTCATGTGACCAATCACGACAGCACAGAAGAGGCATGGCACTAGTTGCGCTTGTACTTATTTCACAACTTTTTTTCATTGAAATAAGGTCTCTTGTGTTTGTGCTTATGCTTGCACCATAGTGAAAACCAGGCTTTACTGGTAAACAACGAAATAATACCCAAGGGAATGTCATGTTTTCTGAAATGGACAAACGTTATACCCAAGTGGTATTAGGTCTATTGACCTATTAAGCTTGGTTATGGTGTCAGTGATGCCATAAGGGGGATTTCATTTTCTAAATTCCCTTTTTTTTTTTTTTTTTTTTT